TTACCTTCTAAGCATGGCATAATAGACTCATTGAAGATAACATCTCTTCTAACAATCACCATATAGCCTTTTTCATTTTTAACCCATAGTTTATAGCCTTTAACATTTTTACTATAGCCCAAGAAAACACATTTAAGTGATCAAAATTCCAATTTACCAATATTTTAATGAGCATATACAGCATAGCCAAATATTTTCAAGTGAGAATATTTAACAGAATTTTTAGACCAAATAGTTTCAGGCACTTCAAAATTTAAAGAACTAGTGGGGTTCTATTTACAAGGTAAGCAGCAGTTTTTACAGCTTCACCCCAGAACAGTTTAGGTAAACCAGAACTCAAAATCATGTATCTCACCTTATTTAATAAAGTTCTACTCTTTCTTTCAGCTATGCCATTTTGGTGAGGTGTGTAAACAACTGTTCTATATCTTAAAATGCCATGTTCTTTGCAGAATTATTGAATTCATAATTGCAAAATTTCAAACAATTATTTGTTCTTAGAATCTTTATCTTATGATCAGTTTGGTTCTCAATTTGTGTTTTCCAATCTTTAAAAGCAGTAAAAGTTTCATCTTTTGATTTTAATAAGAAAACCCATATTTTTCTAGAAAAATCATCAATGATCAAAAGATAATATATAAAACTAGTTAAGGTAGTCACAGAAGCAAGACCCCATAGATCAACATGCAGATATTCAAGTATTTGATTGGATTTATGAATTCCAAGTAAGAAATGTAACTTAAATTGTTTGTCAATAACACACTGTTCACATGAACCAAAATCACTAAGGTTTTGATTTCCAAAAACTCCTTTATTTTGTAAAGGCTTCAAACTCTTCATGCCAATGTGCCCAAGTCTTTCATGCCATAATTTTGCTAAAGTAAAGGGTAAAGCAGCAGCAGTTAAGCTAAGTAAAGGTTTAGCATTCAAAAAATAAAGACTATGTATCTTAGAGGTGCTAATGACCAAATCAGTGCCCCTAAGAATTTTAATATGTCCTTGACCCAATTTTATGTCAAACTCCATGTCATCCAACATGCCTAGTGACACCATGTTGTTCCCCATTATTACTTGTCCCCCAGTCGTTGTTTCAAAATCAAGAAAACATTTTTTTATTGGGACACATATGAAAAGAACAACCTGAATCAAGTATCCACTCTTTACATAGGTTCTTTTCATTATTAACAAGGACTAGCCCATCTTCAATATTATTGTCATTACAGACCATAGCAGCATTCCCATCATAAAAAAACTTTACCTTTTGTTTCATTCTTTTTCTTGTAATAATCTTTAATAAAATGACCTATTTTACCACAATGATAGCATTTCTTGCCTTTTGCCTTATTCTTGGATTTACTTTTATCATGACACTTGATCCTATTTCCATTTAAGGACTTTGAGTGAAAATTAAGTTTACCAAACCCTTTTCCCTTATCAAGCATGTTATCCCCATAACGACTTATTGTCTCAGATTAATTTCGAGAGCTTTATTTCTTAAATCACTAATGATTTCATTAGTAGTAATTTGAGCCCTACCATATTCAAGAGAAACCTTGATGTCTCTATATTTGTCACTAATGGAGTTTAACAAGACTACATCCAACTGATCTTTTGAAAGCTTTTCATCACAGTTGGCTAAGTCTTGGGTCAACTTGGTAAA